ATTGATTAAACCAGGTAAGAACAATGAAACCTTTTGTTGGGAAGATATTGCAATGTATACTTACGCTGTTACATGTGTGAACCTCATTATTCCACTTCAAAGCCTCTTTCATAAAAAAAGCAGGCGTGAAAAAGGGAGATTTAATTAGGCATGTCCATCTTCCAGGCAAGAGAAACTCAACATAAGGTTATATAATTTTCTCCTTGGAGCTCTCTGGAAAGCTGCAGTGGCCAGGAAGTGATGAAAATGGAGACAAATGCCCAAGCCAAAAGCTGGTGAGCACAAGGTTTTCACTAGTGTGGTTCCAGACTGTGTATAGATCCCTGACAGATTCAGCATAAATGAGAACAGACCCTTTGGCCTTTATGTGTCTGGGTCATATCCTGACCCTCCCAGAAGCTATGTTGCTGTTGGAGACCAGTGGATGTCTGTCTTGTCCTGAAATAAACTATATAGAAGGATTGGAAATGCCTTGAAATAAGAGATGAGATGATCCACAATGTCTGGCATAAATTAATCCTGAAAATATCTGTATGATAAGTAGCACTGTAGAGCTACTTCACCAAGAAATCTCCACAAAAAAAGATATTTGGATTTATTCTGGTTGGAGATAATAAATAAATAAATTGTATTTACGATATAAACATTTAACCAACCAGCAGCTAGATATCATGGTGAATAGACAGGAGTCAGATATGCATGTTTTACAGGTGGCTTAGGCAGGAGTCAAGACCGTTATAAATGTGGGCCTTCGGTGTGGCAAAAGCCTGGGTTATTTCAAAATAATCTAGAAATTATATGAAGATATATTATTAAACCAAGTAACTTTGTTCATCTGTGGCCAACCAAACTTTCTTAAAGCAATAAATGCTTTCATGAAGACAAGAGGACTTAGAAAGGAAGCCCAGTAGCCTTCCAACACCTTTTGACAGTGTGGCTTGTGAGAGGAGGAGAGACAATGGGCAAAAAAGAAAACTTCAAGCTGGACATAAGGAAAAACTTTTTCATGATGAGGACAGTCAAGCATTGGAACAGACTGCTTAGAAACGTGATGCAGTCTCCATCCCTGGAGGTTTTCAAGAACCAGACTGAACAAAGCCCTCAGACAAACCCCTTGGGTTTGATCTCATAGCTGATGCTGTTTTGAGCAAAAGGTGAGATTAAAGACCTGCTGAGGTCCTTTCCAACATGAATTTTCCTATGAACCCAAGAAGCAACCTTTGAAGAGTGGAGGCAGTTTTAAAAAAGTGTATGCTTTATTTCTTAAGACTATTGTGTACTCAATGAGCAATCTTTTCTGCCCACATGATATTACAAAAATTTCCAAAAGAAGCAAGAAAGGCTTTATATTGTTTTATATGGTTTTCTATTATTGGATGGACTTTTGTTCAAGCTCTTCTCATGCGTTTGGTATAATCTTAATCTCAGACCATTCTGCCAATCAGGTATTACTTTGCTGATAGTGATTTAATTTCACACCATTTTTACAAAATTGTAAAAAAAGACTAGAGAATTTTGAAACAGGACAGCAAGCAATCTTTTCTCTCTGTGACTTAGATGTGTGGCAAACTGAGAACAAAACATTGAATATATAATCATCAAGTAGTAGCAGTGTCACATAGATCATACCAGGGTAGCACTGAGATCCTTCTCTTAACCAGTTACTGAAAGCTATTGGAAATGCTTCAGTGTCAAAAGAAATGAGCTGTTGTACCAGTAATTCTCTTTTGGCTACCTTCAAATGAATTCACCATAATGTGGATTTTACTGAAAACCGAAAAGACAGCTGCTTCACCCAGCAATGGTTTGGAATCTCTGGTTCTTCTCCAGCTAGCTGGATTGGATGGAGGCAGGTCGGTAGCCCTGCTCTCCTCAACGAAGCTGTATAAATATTGATTCAGTGTATATGTAATACAGGTTTTATATATAACAGAGTAAGAAGAAGAAAAATAAAGACAAACAGATAAAGATTCTGGCAGAAGAAGGACATTTTAATATAATCTCCAACAAAGCAGACATACAAAAGGGGGAAGACCTGTGGATTTTCCCACCCCTGACCAAATCCTTGAACTCTCTTCCAAAAGCAACAGTAGATATGACTTTCATCTCACCTTGTACATCCTAAATTCTGCATAAAGTTTACAAATTTATGTGGTAGCTGTGCTGACTTTTACTGAAAATTAAAATGCAGAAAAAGGTGTAACTTTAATATTTCTTAATTGACAGCACCTTAGTTGTTAATTTGATAAACATGTATCTTCTGTGGGTTTGAACATACCAATTCACCATGTACTTCAAATAATTATGAATTTGCCAGATAATTAAGTATCAACAACTTAAGGAAATATACATCCTTGAGAATGATATGTGACTTCTGCCAATGCATTGCTGTATTTTTATGTGAACAACCCAAACCCTTCAAAATGCAAGACTATAAGCATATCATTAGCATGAAAAATGATGGCTTCAGTCTGGAAGTATGTATATCTCAGAGAAACAGACTGTATTTTGCATTGCATTTTTTGATTTGTTTTAGTCTGATGTGTAAAATAAGTTGTTGCATAACTGGATAATATGCAATAAAGTAGTACTGAGTCAATAGTGAATTTACATTGTATATAAGATATAACTGCATTTAAATTTTTACATCTCATTTGTGTTTTACAAGTATTTGCTTTGTTTTACTTCAAGTCTATTAAGTGTCACTGTTTCTTCTGAAACCTGCATATTCTGGGAGGGTATATATTTTGCACAAGATTTAATGTATTCAAATGAAAAAAACAGTTGGGAAATTTTGAACTCTAGAATTACCCTCTAATAAAAATTTATTTTCCTATTACAATGCAATCTCAGTATTCTAGACATCTTATGTGAAAACTACTATTCCTTGGGGGAAAAAAATAAAAATCAGCAAAAGGTCTCAAATGAAATTTTATAGAATTTTGTAACCCAGATAACTACTATTTTTGCACAGACATCTCTGGATGCCAACTAGATGTAATTAATAAAGCCTTATGCAAATCAATGCAAACAAAACTACCATCAGTAGTAGTAAGTGTTCCCCAGATTAAAGATGTAGAAGAGCATTAATACATTAGATAATTTTAATATTTAGAAAACATACAATGAATTCTCAATAAACAAAAATGTTTGGCAAACTCCTGATAGATTGTTTTAGTTTTGCTTAATCCTAATGCAAGCTGAAGATAATGAGTTCAAATATCATTCCCTGGAGAAATGGATTTTGCTGTTAAAGACAAATAATTTCTATACCTTTACCAATTAAGCCTGTACATCTAAAATACTTATTTGTACCTGTTTCTAAACAGAAGAGGAAGGGAAAGAATAAAGACCTTTAACTGTTTCTAAAAGGAAATAGTGGACTGCAAGAAGAATTTCATTTGTTCCCCAAGCCTGAAAGGAGATAAAGAATACATTAGACTATATTTCAGGCTGTGTTGTCAGTTTTAAAACAAACTTCAGAAACACAAAAAAAAAAGAAAGAAAAAAAATCTTTTAATTTAAAACTTTTAAGACAAAAAAATAATTCATCTACTCTTCTGCATTTTCATTTCTCTACCTCAAGACTGAACAAGGCAATGAAAGCATGTTTGCAGAGCAGCCCTTTGTAAAAAGCTTTCCAATGTAGTTATTACAATGCTTTAACAATCCAAGCAAGCCTCTGTGAATGTACCTGCTTTAATTCCACTCTGTTTAGAAAGCAGATGGCAACAACCTGCAAACCCTGAGGTAATCTTCACTGAGACCTCTCATTCCCTCCCCTGCATTACTGTCACTAAGGTTATTGACCATTCCCATGCTTTCTGTTTATGAAACTTATTTTCCACTCCATTGGCTTCTGCACACATATATCTTTTTTTTGTGCTTGTTTTTTTTTTTTTTTTTCCCCGCTGATGTAAAGTGGGGTCCTCGGTTTGCTTCTAAGATACTGATATAACAGTTTGAAAGGGTCAGGACCAATAAAGGAAAGAGCAGTAAGTATGCTGACATTTTTTAGGCCTAGCAGACTTTGGTTTGGCTGAACTATGCTTTTTCATGTCCTCTGCATGGCACTCTGTGTGTAATAATCATGCAGGGAGTGAATACATTTGGATGGAAATGCAGAAATGCTTATTGAACATCTCAGTTGAAGAGAGTTTAGGAGATGATCACAGGACAAGATGTGCTCTTGTTAGTTAGATTACTGTACTTCACAGAATGAGTCAGATTTGGACCTTCTAAAGCCCTGAAATGTTTGTTTTAAGACACTTATCTCTAACCTTCTGGTGAGCTGCCTATAAATTCAACTTAATTTCATTTGCAGGAGAAACATAACAACAGCTTTTCTAAATAAAAACAAAGACATCCCAAACCCTAAGTGTGTTAAGTGTTTGCTTTGGATGAGTATAGGGAGGCTGTTTCTTCAGCCACTGTGTGTTTACCTGACAGTTTTCTGATAAGCAGTGTGATAGCGAAAGCCCGCTTTGTGACAGTGCTAACACCATCTGCCAGGTGCTGATAGCTTGCTGAATAATGCTGTCATCAACACTCAAGTGCTGATGGAAAGTTATTGCTTCAGTGACCACTACCACTTTCATCTTCTGTCTAATTGGTTGTTGCCACTAAAAAATATTATTAAAAAAAAAAAAAGAAAACCACAGGTCATTTTTCTTTATCATGATGAACTACTTTTAGGCTACTTTGCAGTGCCACTGTTGTGTGTTTATTGCTTTCTGCTTCCTGCCAATTTTACTTATCTACACTGTAGAGTGAACTTTATTGCCTACCTATGATTGCTCTCAGTACCTGATTTGCTGACAAATACCCATAGAAAGTTTCACTAGACCTTGATATAGTTAAGGCCATACTCTGCTGGACACAGTGGGTGCCTCATGAGGTACAGTACAGTGCAATAATTTGCATAATCATTATTTGGTGTCAATTGTTACAGCTAAATTTGTACCAGCTGAAAACCAGGCCAGAGAGTTTAAAGAAAATGTATACAGAAAATTTTGGAAGTATTTCAATCATCAAGAAACCACATTTAAATGCATTTATTTAAGTGTAAAGAAATACACTGTGCAGGCTGCACAGACATGCATGCCCCAGAAAGTTCACTGATGGTGGCTGAGAAAAACAGACAGCCTTCATAGTTTTACACTACAGCATTGAGCTACTAAAATAATTACATGTGAAGAACCTTAAGTGTTTAGAATGGCTGAGAACATAATGTAATATAACTTTAGCCAGAATCAGGTCTCACTTGTGTCAGTATAAATGTGGACTAAAGCTATTTTGGCTTTAAAATGCTGTACTGGAGATTTTGGGTTGGCTTCCTATTTTTGGCAGGATTTACCTTCCTTTTGCAGGATGTTCTGTCTTGCTTTAATGAAAGCTAGGATGTCAGCATCAGCCTGGCTGTCTCCAGTCAGAGGAATAGATGTCCTTGAACTTGGTGGGGCCCTGAAATAAGAAAGTATACTTGTAGACCCAACTGAGTAAGAAGGTTATTTTTCTATTCCATTATCTCCTCTCTTTTCAGCATGGAGGACTTTGTTCTCCAGATACTTTGTTAGAGATGGCACAGTTCGGAGGAGAATCAAGCTCAGGACTTCTTAATGCTCTTATGTAGGTTCTTAAGATTAGCCAATATCTTTTTAGTTTGGTAGGGCTACATGCTTATCAGCTATAAAACCTCTCACAAAGGGTTAAAAATATTTTACTGCTGAGTCAAAGACTTGCTACTAAGCGGAAAAGCCTAATATAGTGAGTTTACCAAAGAAATGATGGATGTGACTATGCCTTGTGTGTGTTTGCTTCACGAAAAAACGCTGCTATTTATTTGAACAGATCAATAGCATTTTTGCCTACTGTAAGGGAATTAAGTTTTCATACATACATGTAAGTATACAATCACATGACATTCATGATATTTGCTGACAGATGCAACTCCTTTGTGCTGCTGAGTCTCCAGTGCCAGCTGAGATCTTGTATCTATGCAGTTAAACCATTGACTTACCTCTGCTTTTGATAGACCCTCTGGTGGTATAAGATGATGTAGTACAGTGAAGCTATTCTAATCAGCTAAGAAAGCTAAGAATTGGGCCCTGTGTCTTTAGCCTTGTTTAAAGATTAAGCACTAATGGTGAAATGAGAAATATTGTGATAAAAATTACAATATGGAAGGACAAGTGGAACTGAAGGGAGAAACTTTTTTTTACATATCCTACCTTTGTAATTATAGTTATTTCCACTGTTCCTTACTGACTATTGTAGTAGAATGTAATTGTGCCTGACATAAACAGAAGTCTGATATCTTTGTCTTTGTGCTACTAATTAAGTCCTTAGTTGCTGAATTAGTGAACCAAAATGGAAAAAAAAATAAAATTACTATGAACTTAATAAAATATCTCTTTTTATTTACAAGGTGATCTCAGAACACCAGTAAAGGACTATTCTCTTATTGATTTTAATTTGATTAGGAACAATATAAAAAATAGAAATTACACAATATATTTGAGAAGGTACTGTCTAAATTCCATTTTAGCTTCTCTTTTTTCTTCTGTTTTTCTTAAACACAAATGCAATTTAAAACATCAGGTTTTGGGGGATGAAATTTTCCACCATATTTTGCTGTTCTAGAAATGGATTGTTTTGGAAAATGAAAGAAAAAAACCCTTGTGATTTGTTCTTACTAATACAGTAGGAAAAATAGTAACTTAACCATATTTTCCTAAGGGCCTTAACAACCAGAACTGTTGAGTGCAATAAGAATGTAACTTCTAGAAGTATACTGACTTGGCACGATGTTTTGGTGGGAGAAAAGAACATAGAAATGAGCACATTAGAAAAAACAGAGAAGCCATAAAAAAAAAAAAAAAAAAGTAGTTTCTGTTAACCTGCTAAGCTAATTTTCACAAAGCAGTATGTCTTTTGAGAAAACATGACATGTAACATTTGCCAAACCTGACACACCTGGGCTGCTGGTGTCATTTTATTTTACTAGAATAATTTGTAGGAGGGAGATTCAAAATATTTTAAGCACAAAATCACAAGAATGAAAAAATCTCTGTGTAGTTCCTGCATTCTGCAATACTTACATACTCTGATCTCCCTTCTTTTCAAATGTTTTTATTTACTCTTTCAGAGTCCCTTTCTCTCACTGAGAAGACACAGTCATGAGTATTCATAAGCTCATGGGGAAAAAAGCCTCAGGCCAAACAAGAAACAACCTCTATAATGCTGATAATGCAGCTACTTGGTGTAAAGCTATGGTACAACCTTGGTGTTGTTTTGGAAGTTGGAGGAAAATCTGTAATTTCAGTTTTATTTTTGTTTTTCAAGGAGACTCTTGTTAAAGACATTGAGAGAGGGTTATCTAGGCATTATATTACTTACTGGTTTCCTCTTTCCTCTGAATAGCCCATGTATGCTTCTTACCTTGTTTTTAAAGTAGGGTCACTAGAGGTGATTGAATTGTTTTTCCCAGCTGGATCTTCATTAGGGCTGACTCTTGTGGTGTCTGAAAAACTGGAATGGGAGCAGAAATGAAGGAAAGAATATAGCCCTTGTGGAGGTAATATTAATACATGCTAATAACTGTTTCTGAAGACTTTTTAAATCTATATAAAGCACTTGTTTACTGGAAGAGGGTTTTCAGTTGAATCCATGTGATGATTAGGTTTTTGTAGAGAATGTGTCCACAAAAGAATGACAAATAAGCTCATAAAGATTATATTGTTAGTATTTGCCTTCTAAGCAGGGCTTGTAAAGCACTTGTATCTGATGTACAGTCTGTAATGGTATATTTAGTTCCCAAACTGACTATTAGCCAAGTGAAGCCTTAGCTCATTTTCCATTCTTTCTTTAGTCAGGCAAAATTATTACCAAAATCAGTGGAAGACTGGATAAAAACTCAGTGAGGACTTCGGGTTGCGGCTTGTTGATGATAGCCAAATAATATTGCAAACAGCTGTTGTGCATTCCTGTCCCTGCAAATATCGTTATCAAGGAACCTCTCCACTAGGAAGGTACATTTCTGCCACGGAATGCCTAGGGACTGTCCCCAGGGGTTGCATATGCTGCCGGATCTGGTGCCAAACTTAGACTGGAAACACTGATTTACTCAGTTTTAGGATTTTTCCTGTAGATGGCAGGATTGGCAAGGTCTTGCTTTTCTAACTCTGCAGTAGTTTGTTCATTGTTGGCTGATGAATTGATATTTCTGGCAGAGAACTTGAAAAAGGAAAGAAATTTATTACTAAAATTTTACTGTATTACATTGTGCCAGGTTCAGTTTTGCAGAAGATATTGTGCCCAAGAGTGTAAGTCATTTTCAAATGAACAGCTCCAGGTTTACTGAATGTTTCTCATTAACTCCTCAAGCCCCATACCATTCACACCTGCCTGAATGGATGAAAATAACCTCAAGATTCAGCCTAATTCAACTAAAGCAATATCATTATTTAATGCTAATAATATTCTGTACTTTATTGCGCCTACATATTACAAGAGCTAGGAAAGATGTGTGATGTTATTACCTTCTATGTGGTTTAACAATATCTGGGAACTTCATATCATAGTTCTGCTTTAGGATTTCCTGAACATTTTTTCCATTGATTTGGCAGCTTTTAAAAACTAAGTTATTTAGGGTCTTAAATTCAATTTTCTAAAAGGACTCTGTGTCTGTGCCCTTAGATACCTAGGCATCCAAGCCATATAACCATGGTTTAATAAATCACTACACATCAACTGAACCATAGCAACCATCCATGACTCTGTTCTTAGCCTGTCACAAATGTAAGGTAATGTGACTAATTGTGATCCTTTTTCATTGCTTTCTTTTCACTGAAATAAGCTGCTTTGCTTTTTATTTGCCATGAACAGAATGTATAATTTTATAAATACTGTCAGTCAGCTGAAGTAATTTATTTTTAAGTTGCAGTAGCTTGTATGTTTGAACTAATTTTTTCCATTGAATTTAAATGAAAATTATTCTTCAGAATTGTTAAATCCCCATTTTAGAGGGGACTTAGATCCAGATCCATTAAAACACCTAGACACTACAGGTGTGGCAGGGTTTGACCTCTAGGGATCTCACTTTCAAGTGGATTCCTGGACCCAGGACACTATGCCAAAACTTGCCTTAGAGTGGTCTGGGAGAACTGGGCACCTGAGGAAGGTGATGTTAAAAACACCCCTTAGACTGAGTGAAGTGATGCCCAGAATCAGGAAATTAACAGCATGCTCAGAGGTGGACCTTAAACTCCTACCCTCTGCCTGTGGGGTTAAAGCCAGACATTTTTGTCTGTGGGGTGCAAACTCTTCTCCTGCAAGTTAAAGAAATTTATAAGGAAGCTTATAACTATTTTTTGTAATGACTCAAAGTGCTGCTTCCATATAAGAGGTTAACAATTAGTATACTAATTTAACAAATGAGTCCCTCAGCTTGGCAGAACTCAAATCCATATTTTACGTATCCCAGAGATCTCCCTAATCCCTAATCCCTAGGCTAGAGGGATGGCCTGTATGGGCATGATTTGCAACCTTCTTACTGAAACTCTGATGATGTTTCTATGGCATTGCAAGATAGATTGAATCATAAGGGAATGAAAAAGCGTAGTTTTGCTGTGCAGTGGTTTGTACACTCGGATGCAACTTGCTCCTAGCCTGTTCTCAGAAAGCAGGACTCTCTTCCTCCACCTGAGTGTCAGATGCTGTTGCAGTGATGAGAAAAGATAAGAAATTTTGCTAGTACTGCTCTAAATTTAATGAAAAGTCATTCTGACAGCATGGGGTGGGCATAAAGATCCCTCTCTCTGTGTGTTAAGCCTGAAGGACTGGACACCTCAGGATGCTCAATAAAGCCAGACAAAACCACAGCTGACCTGAGTCAGTGTGATGATAGTCCTTCTTCAAGAAAGAGGTTGGTCTAGAGATCTCTAGAGGTGCCTTCCAACCAACATTTCTGTAATGTGTAAATAGGCATTCCTGGATTACAGTTTTGGATTTGGATGGACATACAAGGCGTAGAAGTCCTGTCTCTTTGTCTGGCTCCTAAGCTCTAACATTGTTCAGGTTCTTTTGACAATGTACAATTCCCATTTTCATTCTGGATCTAACTGATTTTTCCTTGAGTTGAATTTAAGAAGTCTCAAAGCACTGTTTCCTGACAGCTTCAGTAAAACTCCTGCTTTTTCTGGAGATTAAAGATAGTCTGTCAACTTCATATGTCTCAGTTCTTTTTTTTAACACACTACCTGGAGTTTCACCCAGTGGGTAACTTGCTTTTGGGGGGGGGGTGTCTTCTGTTGGGGATACATGTCTTAGGCATGGGTCAGCAGCTAGAGAGATGTACACAGTGTTGCAGCAGTGTCTCGCTGCAGGAACCCAAGGGCCAGAGACAACTGTCCCATGGACTGACCAGCTCCATCAAGCCCACAGGGTAGAGGAGCTGGGGAGATGATGGGTGTCATGGTATGAATGCTTGATTTGTCAGCTGAAAAAAAGCGGAAAATCAGGTAGATTAAAACAGAAAGCATAAAATTTGAAGGTGTGCAACCTCTGCAATATTAAAAAAAACTCAGCTGCAGTTCTCCAGTCATCTGAGCCTTGGACGTGAGGAGAACAGATGTTCTGTGTAAAGGCAGGCAAGATTCAAGCTCCTTAAAATCTGAACATTTTAGTATTTGGTTACAAAATCAAATTTGGCCTAACTTGCAAATTCATAGATAAATTGTTCAAGTTAAATTGTTACCAACAGAATGTGAAAACCTTTGAAATGTCATTAATCAATGATGTTATTCCCAGATTATATTTTATCATCATGTAACACTGTGGAAAATTGGCAGGAATGAAAAATGATTATGACACAAAATGCTGCAAAATATGTAAACATTTCCCTTGTTTCACATAGCATTACTATAGGGAGCAAATTTTGCAATCCAGGACAATAAATTTTTAAAAATCTGATGCTTCAAGTCATCAGAGAACATGAAGAGTTATCTGAAGATATCTCCAAGGGAGTCTAAAGCGACAGGAAGATTTTGAAGACGAAGAAGCTGAAGAGCCAGGGGGTCTGAGATTGAACATACTGTGGGGCTTGCTGTAATAGGATGAATGAGATTCAGTAAAAGGGAATGAGTGAGGTTAAGAAAGATCTGACTGAATTAAAAAGGAATGCATTCCTTCTCAGAGAAGGAAAAAAATCCAAAATTTTTTAGACTATTTGAATAACTATCCAACATTTGCTTGATTCAAGGGGAGTACAAGAACAGTTCAACCCTAGTGAAATTAAATATTCAGTGAGAGAAGTAACTTGAACAGACAAGGATCTGATAAATTTCTTAAATGAAAGCCAATGTGGGAGAAGACTATATAAGGATGAACAAAACACTGTGCTTGAATTCTGAATTGGAGCAGACATGGAATGCTGAGCCCAACATGCATTTTAAGGCTTTTTGCAGACTTGACAGAAAACCATTAAGAGACATAAATGTACATACTGTACAAGTTGCAGTTAACACCACAGCTTTATTTCAGAAACAATATGGACAAGTAGGGTATTCTCTTTCAAGTTTGAGGGATTTTATTAGGTATTCCTTTTGAATAAAATAGCTTCTTGATGATTATTTAAATTCTTCTTCCTTTCTCTTTCTACTGTGACTCTGGGATCTCTGATTAGACCCTTTTCTGTCTGAAATATTGAGATGGGTCATTCTTTCTCCACTTTGCACAGTTGTTCTTCATTTTAAGTAATATGTTCAGATCAGATGAGATTTACTATTTCTGCAACCTTCATATGAAAGACATATGCAAAGATAAATGTAGTCTGGAAACCTTCTGAATCTACTTAACAGGTGAATGAGCTTGAGTCTGTAAGCCTCTACAATACACAAACTACTGGTTTCAGCTATTTTAAGTATATCAGATTTGGTAATGTGATTAACCTGTTCAAGAAATTACCTTTCTTATGCAGAAATGTTTTTTTCTCATGCCAAGCCCACTGATAACCCTTATGTCACCCTTTTCCCCACTTTAGCTCTGCTGTCACTGAAATCAATGTTTTGCTTCTTACTCTTGCGGGAGTAGGATCAAGCAAGCCAACGGCTTTCAAACCTTACTGACTAAGGCAGAAATGCTCACTGTTCAACTGTTATTAACACAGACCCATTTCAACACTTAACAATTCAGCCATTTTTTTTCAATTGAAAGAGAGACACATTTGGCCATGAATCAAGTGCCTTTCATATTTGTGTATCCTTCTCAAGCCTCAAAAGGATTACCAGCTTCCCTTCTCTGTTATTTCAGTTATAAATTGATTTAATATAAAATACAATTTGAGGCTATCACATTTCCTTCCCAAGGCTTAATTTTCTCTGGTAACATGACTAAGGTGTGTCAAACAATAACAGTCCACATGAATTGTGCACCAGCAGGTGATCAAAGGATTTTGTGCAAACACATATATAAATCTCAAGATAGATTATGGAGTATATCTGTAACCTTTATAGGATGAGATAGATAATTTATTACTTCTAATCCTGAAGATTTTATTTATATCCATTCACACCCAGGAGTTTGTCTGAATGGTTTTACTGCATACTTACTCTGTCAACAGTAGTCTTAGACTTCTCACATGCAGCCCACTAAGTTTTAGATCTTATATCTATTGAATACACCTGTGAACTGAATTCCATCTTGGAAATAGGTTTTATTTACAACACGTCATATCAAATATAATTTATGTCAGTTTCTGCTTTTGTGACTGGTTATTCCGCTGGGTGAAGATAGCAATATCATTTCAGAGAAGGAGACTTGATTCCTAGGTGAGTTAGACGCAAAGAGCTATTTGTGTCTCAGGACTGTGTAGCTGAGAGGAGCAACTGTAGTCTGGGCTCATCCTACACAATTATGGGAACTGGTAAGTAAAGTTCCTGTGTCAACTGGGGTCAAGGAAATACTTGGGGAATAAGTACTCTACTGTTTTATACTCTTAAAGCCTGTGAAATCGGAAACTTTTACTATAAATATTATTGTCTGAAGTAGGGGGAAAAGTAAATTTTCATGCACAGTGGGATGTTAAGCCTGCAGCTCCTGCCCCACAAAAAGTAGAAATAGTGTTTCTACTTCCATATACATTGCACTGGAAATGTACCTGTGTAAAATATGTTTAAACAGCCTAGCATAAAATAAGACCAACTTTCTGGTATTATAAGCAGGAAAGAGTAGTTAACTTCAAAAGATCATTGCAAGAATATTGATACAGATGGGAAAACAAAACTATATTCATCCTGACTCCCTCTACAATTTAAGTCCCAGAAGATGAATTTTCTGGGTCTGTGATGTGTATGCAAGGATCATCCAGTCAGTCTCAGTCAATATGTCCATTACTTAGACCCCGAGAAACTGTTCATTATAAAGAACATGTGATTTTTTGCAAGAGACCATGTGCGGCAGTACAGGACTGAGAAGTAAGCTTTGCAGCGGAAAACAACCAGGCACCTACCCCCGTTCTATTCAAAATGCTAAACACACTTTTCTGAGACCTGTCCTCCAGTAATAAACACAAACGATAAAGGCATTGAAAAAAAAGTTTAAAAGAAAATTATAAATAAACCAGTTATGCAATTTTGCTTCTGAGCTTGGGTGGGAGAAGGAGAAATCACTGCTCCTGGAGGCCAGTCTCCCATTGCTCTGGAAAGTGCCTAGACATTATGGTATGTTCTTTTTAATTCTAGCTTTGACTGCAAAAGATGCCACTCTCCTGAGCAATGTATCAGCACACCAACTGGAAATTGTCATTCCCAAGAACATTGGAGCAGAGAGGCTGTGCAAGAGGTCCTTAGTTCAATTCAGTACAAAGTTAAAGAGAGTGACAGTCATGGATTGCTTGAGCTAATTTAGCCGATTTTTGTGCTAAGCTAGACCAAAAATGCTTTCATGTTCTGTTCCGTCAGCTTTTTTGTGGGACAAGTAACCTTCAGACTAAACCCAGAAATGAACAGCTCAAATAAGGCCTAAAACCTGCCAGCCATTTGCAGAAGTAATAGTGCCTAAGACTTGAGAGAGAACAGAATAAGAATTGAAGCAAAGTAGTGAAGACTAGAGTTGGTTTTCATCAGTTTGAGACTCTGAAAATGCCTTCTTAGATCATTTTAGAGGATTATGTGTTTCATTCTCTGTACTGATTATGGAGCATTTACTATAGATACAAGAATTTACAATAAAAATTAGAATATATTTTCCAGTTCTAAGAAAATCCAGTATGCGTTATTTAATGGTATGTAGGATATGTTTGCTGCAAAGCAGAAAACATCACTTATGCAGAGTATTGTTATAAAATTGTAGGTAAAGCCACTCATCAGAGAAAGATTGTATAATGGGAAGAAGGGAGAGAGAGGGGGAGAAAAAGATAGCACGAGAGAGGTGGGGAGGGAGAGAGGAAGAGGGAAGAAGAGAGAACACCTCCATTTATTGTCAATGAATATGGAAACCTGCACATTCAGGTATGTGTTTTTCTGCACTTTGCTTGAAGGCTATGAAAGATCTATTACTGTAAATTTAAATTAGAGGTTTTGAAATCAGAAGTGATTGATGATGAAACAACCAAGATGATTACAGTTTTCTACTGTAGAGGATGCACCAGTGTTTTATAATATCAAATGCAGTATCATTGTGGAATAATATGCTGCATAAATGTAGCACCAGGACATTTTTCAACAGCAAATCTATCTAGGCTATTTATTAAATAATTTTTTAATCTTTTTTTTGTTTGCAGCCCCCTGAACACATTCCAAAGGAGATATAGTCTCCTCGTACAGCAAAACTGACAGATAACAGGCTTGCTTTTCCTATCTATCTGTCATGGGGTCCCTAGTGACAGGTTTCCAGGGTCCCAATACCAACAAATCAAAAGAACTGAGTTACAATAAGCTACCTGCAATATGATTGCAAAATAACTGAGTGATAAAAATTCATTTTCTACACAGCCATTTCTCTTGTAACTGGAAATGCAGTGTTTGAGTACGATATTTGCAAAAGCATTCCAGTGAACTGCGCTTCTACTAAAACTGCATTTTCTTACAAGTAAGTAAGTAAGAGAAAAATGACCAACTTACCTGTTAGTTGATAGATGTTGTGAGGATTTGATAAATTGGGGGTAAACAGTCATGGTATTTGGTGAGCTAACCAACTCTGGCTTTTCCTGCTGGGTTTAGTTTGAAAAACAAAGTTATGTAGGATAGGATTCTTTTAGAGTGCTTAATATTGTCCTACAGGTCTCAGCAATAACAAGGTAGGCAATGACTCATTCAGAAAACAGAGTCTGAATCACACAGTATTTTCTTCACTTGGACAAACACTTCTGAACAAAGAGAAAAGTCTTTAGGATTGGTTCAAGTATTTTTTAAGCTCAAGTTACAGGTTTTTAATATGTAACAGCATGTGTTCGCTGATTTGAGTTTCCTAGGGAGCTCAGATGTATAGATAGGTCAAGATCCAAGAAATCAATCCCAATTATTTTTTCCAGTTTTCTAATCTTCTACTGATGAATCATGAGAGGCTGAATCCTGGACCCCTCCTGTTATATTACTTGCAGTGCTTTGAAAAGCCTAAATATTTAGGCAGGAGGGTGACTAAAACATTATCCTCTTTGCCACTAATATGGTTAGGGATTTTAACCTGAAAAGTATTTTGCAATGATAACTTGAAGTTAAGCTAGTTAGGTGGCACTTTATGGATAACTAAGTTCCTCGTGCTAAGTTTCATATTTACTTTAGGCTGTTTTCTTAAAAATACAGTTTAAATTTATACTTATAAGAATTAAACAAAATACTGGCTAAAGGCTTCTTTGTTTATAACAACTTCTCCCCGAGGAGTAAATCTTCTCTTCCAGTTAATAATAAATTATATTGGATGGACGGCACTCAGCACTCTTTTTCTTTAGGCTGATGTGCACTTCATGGCAGTGCTTTGCTGTGAGATGCCGTGTCACTACTTGGAAGACATTAAAAAAAATGTCAGAAGGGGAGCATAAGAAAGCTATGTTGTTGTTTCAGTTGATCCCCCTCCACACCCTCTTGTACTGTCTCCTGTGTTTGTGAAACTGTGTAGCTTTCAGACTGAGTGTGTTATGAACTTCTAATACACTGTTTAAAATGACATCTCTTTAGCTCATTTTTACACAAGTCATTAAACTAGAGCACTCTGTTTCTGCTGGGTTCTTAAACAGGCAATGATGGCAGTGGTGGACTTCAGCTAGAGAGTGAGGGGACATATGCTCTGTGCTGAGAGCTGTTGACCCTCTGGGAACTTAGGAAAGCTGAAAGATTACTGGAGTTTTGCAAACAAAGGAAGCTAAAAACCAATTATATTTGCTGGGATTTGTCCATATTACAGCTATGACTGCCATCTTCTAATACATACATCATAAACCTGATGAAATCATAATTTTGCTAGCCGTAAAAAAGCTTATTTTTTCCAATCTTGTCTATTTGTTTTATGTTTCTTCAGAGTCTTTGGCATTTTGAGACCATTCTTGGCTTTCAATCAAGTTGTTTGGGGGAAGGTCAAAACAAAAATAAAGCAGAAAGCAAGGATTTTGCTTCATTTATGTTAGCTTCATACAAGCATAATTCACATTAGCATTGTCTGATTTACACTGGCATAAGCACAGGTGAATCTGGCCCCAAATACCATCCTTCATACTCTGTTCTAGCTAGTCAATTAACTACTTTAAGAAATGATTGAAGATGTTACATTTACATGAAAATGGAAGAAACACAAAGTGATTTCATACCTGTAGATTTATTGTCTCTTCAGACCACCAGACTTCAAAGTCTTTTTGCAGCTTCATCTTGACTTTTTCGATAAGAAGCTGCAGGTGCTCAATTTCTACCTTCAGCCCTTTCACGCGATTGAACATTGCCTTATAACTAATATGAGAAGAAGAAAGTATATTATTACAGATCTTCCAATACATATCTGAACAAAGCTTTATCCTACCTAGAACAGTTACAGATTTAAACTACAAAAGAATAAATAATAATCAGAGGTGCAGGGGACACAGACAGAGTGGTGGTAGGAAGAGACATCTCATGTTTTATAAGAGCTTGACTAGACAGTAGGCACAAGAAACTTATCCCACAAAGCTTTTATTTCACTAGAGAAATTAGTGAAATTCAAGTGGGATCAATATTCATTGACAATTAAAATACAGGTTCAATCAAATATGTCAATTATTTCTTTTGATTTCTCAGCATTTCTCATTAATAAAGAAGTGGTTGCCATAGCCTGGATTAAGACAGGATCTGAGACAGATTCACTGTTCATATTGAAGCTTCATCAACAAGGCCTCTTGGCTAACATATAGTTGGAGATTTACCAGTAGTATGAAATAGCCAGAAGTTTCCTCATAGATTGCACATAACATAAATGCCAGCAAATTACTTAGAACTGATATCCTTGCATCTTTTATCCTCCTGGCTACAGCAAGATTAGAGCAAGGATTATTTATCCAACGCATACTCTGCATATTATTTACACTTACATCAATCCTGTATAGCCTAAAGGTTTTCCTTAGGTCAAGGAAGGCAGTACATTTCTGAATCAACCAAAAAGGTTCACAATACATCTGGATTCAAACAAGTTGCTAACACTAACCCTCGGGGAGGACATTAAGCTATTTTTATTTATTTTTAGCCCATAGCCCAAGCATAAATATTCCCCACTCATGTACTGTGGCATCTTACAGACAAACCAATGGCATACACACAAATTTAAAAACTATTAGTGAACCACAAAGCTGACATTTTTAAAATGTCAGAGAAAACCCTGAGGGTAGCTGTGTGTGCAGAATTGTAATTGGAATATACTATCATTATAATTTATCTTCTGAAGGATGGCAGAAGTTTGAGGTAGAAGTAACACCTTTTTTTTTCTTCTTCAATTTGCGTTCGAAGTTTCTCTTCTACTGGATCAAGTGTATTTAGCTCTTCAGAAGGACTGGAAACAGCTACAGGAGAAATGATCAGATGTAAGCAATGACCATATGATGTCAAAAAAGAAGTTACCTTTGATTAGAACAAAAACTATTTTTTAAGAGGTTGGTACTGAAATGGAGGTCATTAACCATTTCTCTCTTCTGGAAATGGTTCTTCAAATTCTTTATTTAGATCTTATTTAGCATAAGAGACACTTGGTAACTAATGATTTGAATTAAGTTGCTTTTAATTTTTGTTTCCATTAAAGACTGGAATATTCATTTTAGATATGAATAAAAGTGAGTTTGGCAGTCCATTTTAAAAGTTCATCTTTGGCATAAAACCCTAACAAATGCATTGGACCTGACAGTTTTGGCTACAAAGACAAGAGCAGAACAGCGAAGTTGTTGCAAAAAGAGGATACAACACTAGCTGTGCTGGTGCCTGGAAATAAATTAACAGAAAGAAGAGTAAAAGATGAATCCTGAAGGAGAAATTAGCTTTGGTAAGCAATAAATCCAGACAATTAGTATAAATAAGGAAAATGTCCTGAAACTATATGCGAAATTTTTCAACGTAAAGGAGAACTGAGGAAATACCTTAAGAGTAGCCTAAGTTAACCTAAGCAAGCAGCTTAGGATTTCTGTATCGTACAACAGAGCTAGTTAGCATGCAATACACAATATGCTTATTCACAGAGATGGCAAAACAGTCTTTCCATCATGGGTTAGAAGTTCAGCAGTGAAAGGAAATGTAAAGTTACAACAGTTTCTATTTCTAGAATGAATGAGAATAGTTTAAGGTTCACAAGAAAACATGTTTAACCTCTCTAACTGAAGAAAAAAAAATGAAAGAAACAAAAGATTTTCTATATAATACATGCAAGTTTCCACCCCGACTATTATTTCTGCCAAGAAAATAAACTCTACATCAACCTGTCATGAGGCCTGAGGAGTGCACCCTCTCTTCAAGGAGAGGAATTCTGTCTGGAATAAGAGGGCAGTAATGACCCCCTCTCTGCTTGTCAGTGAGCCAGCTGAAACCATTAATGTTTTGTTGTAGCACCCTGTAGCTTAATACAGATGAAGCTGAAAAGCATTTTACTTCATTTAGAGTACTTAGGTCAAGCATGTTAATACAGATAGCCAAGGTAGACAAAGCCCATGCACAATTCTCATTTCAGACATAGAAAGGCTTTGCTGGATGTGCAGATTACAAAAGAAGGGTAGGATGAAGACATTTGTGGTGGAGAGGGTACCCTCAAAAGATTGAAAAATAAACTGCTTGGAATGTTAAAGTGAATGCACAAGCCAGGAGGTGCAAACATCATGGCAGAGGAGATGCTACAACAGTGGCATTATATAACAAGTTATACCCAAACACAATGGCCATCATAATCATTCCTGAACCTTTATGGAAAGCAGTAAACCTTTCGATGATTACCGGGGATCAGGATTTTCTGATTTGTCAGATTTCATCCTCAGGAGAAGGCATAATGTGGGAAAGCGCAGAGCTATACCGGGAACTTGTGGGGACACACTGCAGAGCTCCTGAGGCTTCACACTTGTTCTGGCCTTCATGGATATATGGCATCCAGGCTTGAGAGAAATGTGGTCTTGTGGAACAAACTGAAATGATTCAGTTTCTGTGCAAAGCCAGCCAGACTTAACTTGAGAAGTCTTCAGCAGTGGTTAAAGGGGACTCTCCTGAGCACACTGATGTGCATTTGACCTATTTGCACAATCTGTTACACTGTCTGAGTTTGGGAGGTGGCAGCTCGAGCCCCTTATAATGAAGCAAAATAAGACAGGTGAAAGACAGTAACATCTTAAAATGTAAATGCTGTTTCTGAAGTGTGGACTTCCCTACATGAAAACATCACCAAATTCTGCTAGTCATCACAGTGATGCGAGGCCATAATATTGCAGCTTTCCTTCCCTGCTTTATTTGGACATCTAGTACTTTGAAAAATAGTTTTGCACTAGGTCTGAAAGGGCAGCCAAACTTAGGCAGAGTTTTGTTACTTATGTATAAAAACACCAAGAAAAAATGTTTTTCTGCTGCTGTTTACACGCTGTAGAAGGGATTATTTGGTTGCAAGTTACCTTCAGAAATAATAATAAAGCCTTTTATATGAGATGAGTACCTCTATCACACAAAGGCCTCAGCATCCTCAACCCTGAATAGGGCTACGCCCATTATCTCTAGCAATATGCTGGGGATGGAAGCAAGAAACACAGCTGTGGGCAAGGTGAGCAGCACAAAGTTTTGTGTATGTATACAACAGAAAGAGATGAGTACACTGCAAGCTGATGGGGCCCCAGCAGCAAAAATAGCATTGGGTATTTCATCAAGTAAATGGCTAAAACTTACACATTCATCACTGTGTTCCAGTCACAAAAGCAGAAGAGATCTGATCACAGTGTCAGGTTGAAGTCCAGTGGTAAGTCAAGTCCAGGGTATGCCTACTTGGGCACTGCTTTGTAAGTTCTCTGGTGTCTTTTGCTATGCCGTTGCAGTCTCCATTTCAGCTTTTTGTCATGCCTGCTCATTGTAACAACGTGCTTGTGAGCTGAATAGCATTCTGCTCCAAAGACTAGACCTTCTTGAATCTGCCTACTGTAATATATACAGATGAACACATAGCTTTTTCCTGATGTTCCAAGTGAAAGAGATCTATGGTCTGGTGGAGTGTATTTCAACCCTTTTGTGTGGTGCTGCTTCTGCCTTCACCTCATTCCCTGATACTTCTTTTCTCCCCTCTCCCCTTTACCTTTCCCAAATCCCTGCAGTGGCCTCTTTCTGCCCCTGGGCTCCTGCTGCCTCACACCCCTTTCTTCCCACCAGCCCAGGAAATTTCAGCTACAGCTGAAGCCAAGAAGTTAAGGCAGAGGTTACTGGAACATTGTATCTCATGTCTAATGTTAGCATTCCTCAGTACACAGGCTCTGTTATTTTAAAATAACATGAGAAGGACAACTGCGTGCATAGACAGCAAAACATAGAAAGCATATTTACTCACAAATTTAAGAGAGATACCTAAGAAGAATTACCTCCTTTTTGCTACAGGTTTTTATTCTGCTAAAGAGTTTCTTTTTATTGTATATACCTGCCTGCCTGTGCAGAAACAGAAAATGTTTATTAAAACATCAAATCATTTTATATATATATTAACCGCATATATATGAAGTACATGTAAATTACAAAAAAATGGAAATTTAGGAGACCAACTTTTGCCCATATACATTAAAAATTTTGCAATAATTAAAAAGTGCCAAGGTGCTACTACTGAAATATTAACTATCAGATACAATTTCTGAGCTGTGCAGGAGAACACAAAGTGGTATCTGCTTTGTTCACTCAGGGTTGACTTTTAATTCATTGATTGACAGTTTGTCATATGAAACTTGATTGTACAGTCTAGCTCTATGCTTTCAATGCGTCAACTGACATGAGCCATTCAGCTGATGTGCAATAAACATGCACTTGTAGTGCCCCAGTGACTTCTCCTGGGAAACAAATGCAGTTGGTGCAATTTGATCCTGGATAATGCGGACTCAGGTTTCAGGGGTGCAGGGGAGGTGTGACATGCATGTTTAGGAAAACATTGCCTCTGTGTATACTAGGGGTTTCTGGTGGCATCCATCCAATTCTATACAACAGAGATATTTTAGCAGAAGTCAGCAATGTACCCATAAGGAGTATTAGTTCCTTTACATTAGCATAACTGCACATAGAGCTGAGTGGCAAAACTTATGAATCCTGTCTTGTGAGGTCTTTTGTTAAGACTACTGGGTTGCATGATGTAAAGACATTGGGTAGTGAAATAGCTAGCAACTTTTACATTTATCTTCAGGCTAATTGTTTTTGTTTCATCTTCAGATACAACCCATTTGGTGAAGTGAGGCACAGGATACAATTGATACTAGCAGCCTGCTTAGAAAGGAAGGTGAGCTCTGCATGAATTGACACCATTTATATCATAAAGGTTTGTGGGGTTTGTGGTTTTTTTTTTGTTTTTTTGTTTTTCATAAAGAAGATTGTAAGAAGCATTTTAAGATATAATGATTTTATTCTAATGAAAGGGCCAATTTTGGAGCACAAGAAGTCGTAAATTTTACAACACGTTCCACATCAGCAAATCACACAGTACCAGAAAGAAATGATAGCACCTGCTAACTGGATCACTATTTCAAAGCAATATGACAAGCATGAATGAAAAACACTATTTTTACCATAAGATACCAAGTGTTATTACCATGGTTTACAGCAAGCTGGCAACAAGTTGAAATACTCTGGCAGATTCTTGTCTACAGTCAGAAAATTTTGCAAGAAACTCTCTGTGACCCTGAACTTTGTACTCTCTGGGGAGCTCATATATTTCTTGACCTGAGTGTATCCTAGAAGTCAAACTCCTAGGGATTTATTGTCTTATGCCTCAAATAACATTGTGCCCTGTCCTCCAGCTGTACTTTTGCAGTCAAAGATTTTAATTTTTTCACTGCATAGTCTTGTGTTTATCTACTTAAATTTATAGTCACCGAAGTAACCAAACTTAGAATTGACATCAGTATCCAGTTAATATTTTACTGCTTTATTTATCAGCTTTGCAGCTTTTGGCAAACTCAGGCCTTAGTGCTTTCAAACTAGAACTTATGCTGTCATTTCATTTTTTAAAAAAGAACTACCTGTCCATTGTTATTCTGGATCAGCTTACAAGTAATTCTCCCCTCCTTTTTTCTTATTCCTCCCCTGGGCCATGTCAACCTATGTTTGTCTCTAGTCACCATGTGTACCTTATTGTCATGGTTTAACCCCAGTCAGCAACTAAACACCATGCAGCCACTCGCTCACTCCCCCCCTCCACCCAGTGGGATGAGGAGAGAATAAAAAAAAAGTAAAACTCATGGGCTGAGATAAAGACAGTTTAATAGGACAGAAAGGAAGAAAATTATAATGATGACAATGATGATAATAATAATAATAAAATGACAATAATAACAATAAACCCAAAAGAATTAGAATATAGAAA